TTCGATTTTGTCTAATAAGAGGAATTGGAATTGCCAAATGTCCATCATGCACTTAAGTAATTCTGGCAATTTATTTGTTTAGGGGCAAAATCGGTATTTTAAGGCTTCAAAAAATTTTAACTCCATAATTAAACATAATTAACTATAGGTTCTATATATCAAAATGATTAGAATTTTACTAGAAATTTTTTAAAATTATTTTCGTTAAATTTCACTTAAGTCTTGTCGTGACTCATTGAAAAGCCTGCCACAACATACGAACTTCATTTTCTGGTTTTACACACAGCATCATGCCTTTCCTGAATTTCACCAAGGGCTTCCAAGATCTCACCTTTCCCCTGTTCCTGTATCGCCTACTGCAAAAAGCTTTCACCTTTACCACTAGATATCAAAATCTCTATAGTTTCTTCATCCGGTTTCTCCTGTAACAGTATAATACCTTCTCCCCACCATTTCCTGATAATCAGCTTATAAGCCTCAATCCGAGCTCGCAGGTTCTGGAATTCATCCGTTAGACCCTTCAGCTTTTCCCCAGCCCAGCTACCACGGAAGTTCTGGTTCGATTTACAGAAGAGCCCGGCTCACAGCCAGGAATGCTTCGATTAGCTTTGTTGTCCCGAACGAGAGATTCGAGCTTCTGTTTCACAGATTTGGCTCGCCGGAGAACTTGTTCTGTATCGGCGTCCATTCGAGAATGGAGGGATTTCATCATTTTGGCGTTGTGGGCTGATTTGGTCTCTTCGTTCAGGTCTTGGAGGCGGCGATAGAGTTGTTCGAGAGTTTTTGATTTCCTCTTTGATGATTTCAATGTCTTGGAAGAATTTCTCGAGGTTCTTGGCGTTGCCGCCGCCGGCGTCGACGTCATCTATATGGATCTGATGCTTCAGGTCCGTGTATTTCTTGAAGGAGCTGGAGGTGAAGAGGTCGTTAATGGTGGCCGGCGGCGATGGGTGGATTGATAGGAGAGGAAAGATGAGATTAGTTTTGGAGTTTCCGGCTATGGGTAGGGGGAAGATGGAAGGAGGATTAAGCGGGAAGATGGATGGAGAAGGGAGAGTTTTGGTTGCGAAAAAAATGGAGAAAAGAGAGCTTTAAATTTCTTTGATTTTTTTGAGATTGATGCAATAAATATTTACACTCATTTTAAAATAAATCAAAGGATTTAAAATTTTAAATGTTCAGTTAAAATTTAATAATTATGAGTCTAGGAAATTTTATTTTTTTTCAAAATGAGCATAATAAAAATTTTTAATTCATTATTTATAAATATAATTTATTTGAAAGTAAATTCAATTTTTTTTCCAAAAAAGGAATATTTTGAATAAAATTTAATTGTTATGAATTTTAAGATTGTTAGATTTATTATATGATGAAAATATTACATATGTACTATCATTTCTTTATACCCTAAATAAAAATAAATATAGGTCAAAATAAATTTTAAATTTGTTGAATTTATTTTGAAATGACTATTGATACGTCGTCAGAAAATTATCTTAAACGAGTGCGAATCTCGATGCAAAATCAAGTTGGAAACTTCAAAAATTAATTCGGAGACCATCCGGACTCCGATTTCAGCAAACTTACAGTCGAACTGAGCATCTTGGAAATACGACACCAAATTCGACTCGATCCGAGCCCAAATGGATCCAAATCAAGGACTCGAAGCGCTGTTGGAAGATTCAAACCACAAATTGGATTACCAAACGGTTTCCAAACATAACAAGCTTATACTCGAATCGAGCGGCTCGACGAGACGAATCCAACGAGCCCAAGATCGCTGAATTCTGACATCATTAAGGTCTTTAAATGTTTAAAGAACGGTGCATGATCAAGGGATTCAACATCGGCCATTCATCCGACCACTCCCCATTTATCCTTGATCTCTCACCTATTTACGGGTCATGCCACTCCATAAATCTATAAATAGAGCTCCCTCTCCTCTTGTAGGGACCCCCCAGAAGCC